GCCTTAGGGTTTGTGGTCAGAGTTAGGCTGTAGAAATGTAATGGAAGTCAATGGAAAGTGCCCAAATGGATAGCTGTGTAAACATGTGTGTGTTTGTCCTGCTGTGATCAGGTCTGGATGCCCCCATGAGTCAGTACCAGGTCTCAGAGTGGTCTTTATCAGGCGCAGGCCTGCTCAGTTTGACCTCCCTGGACCTGGAGAAGTTGGGAGTCCATAAGATTGGACACCAGGAGCTCATCCTGGAAGCCGTGGAGAAGCTCTGCTCTCTGGTGAGTGAGGCTCAGCCATCGTGTGTGTTTGTTTACATGTCTGCAGTGTCGCCCCGCGTCGCCAAGGCTTTCTGTCGTGTTTGTTATGGAGGTGACGGATATTTGCTGAGCAGTAATCCACCAGGCTTTTGCCAGGTTGTTCTGTGAAATTGCAGCAGAGAGATTTACAACCACAATTCCAAAACGGTGGGGGTGTCGTGTAAAATGTAAATAAAAATAGAATGCGATGATTTGCAAATCTTCTAAACCCATATGTTACTTACAATGGAACAAAGAAACTATATAGAAAATTTAGAGTAAGAAGTTGCTCCATTTATTATAAAAAAACAAGATAATTTTAAGATTTATAACAGCAACACATCTCAAATACATGTACAGATCTGCTAAATCAGGGGAGTCTAGTCCTGGTCCTGGTGGGCCACTACCCTGCAGGTTTTTGATGTTTCTCTGCTCCAGCACAGCCGATTTTAATAAATGGGTGATCCAACAGATTTCTGCAGAACTTCAAMAGGCAATTAAATTCCTGAATCAGGTTTGTTGGACCAGAGAAACAAGTAAAACATGCAGGATATTGGCCCTCTAGGACCCGGATTTAGCACCGCTGTGCTAGATGGATAAGCTGCTCATGCCATTGGCAGTAATGCAACTCTATACCATCAGAGAGGCTAGAAGCTTTTTACTTTAATATGAAGGATGTGGCATCTGTGGTTTCCTAAAAGAAACAGAATCAGACCTGATTTATTGACAACAAATACTTTATTAAAAAATAATGAAACTTTTGATATGTTTGCTAATCATTGTATTCTGTTTTTATTTACGTTTTACACACCGTCCCAACTTTTCCACAACTGGGATTTATGCCCCCAAGACTGTAGTGTTTTTAAAGCCCACTGATGTTTGCACTGTGGTAAAAACAACCATTGGACAAACATCCATAAATCCAGCTAGAATCAAGCCAGAGTTACTGCTCTCACAGGTATCCAAATCCTGCTTCAGAAAGCCTTAACTCACAGTTCTCACTGTTCTTCTTTTTTTCCCCTTCTCAAGCAAACTATCCATTTTCTTTACCCACTTCTTTCTTTCAGATCATGTAGAGCGAATTATTTTACCTTCCTTTTACCTTTTTTTTTGGACATTTTTCTGCTGCATAATTAAATTTGTGAACTATCCAAACTTGTAAGACGGTTTTAGGGATTTAGGTAATATAGTTGGTGTGCTTCCAGAATAGCCTTTGTTTCACTGTAAGGACTGATTCAGCAGGACAGAGGCAGGCAAAAGTCCAGCTCTGGTGGCGTAACAAGCTAAAACAGCTTAAACTGCTTGTTATTGAGGTTTTTGAAACAACTGAAAGACAGATTGAATTAAGAGTTTTACAGAAAGTCTGCAAGAATAAAAAGGCCCCACATTCCTCAAAGGGATGCAAATTGCGCACCACCAATTTGTCAGATGTCAGAGTTTTAAACTAAAACTGGCTTATGAGGAGAAAATGAGATGTTGCCATTGAGGTCAAATCTTAAAAAAAAAGACATTATGCAATATCTCATAATATTGTCAAGGTCTTGTAAGGTTTTTGTTCATTTATGCCAATTAGAGTAATGTGGATGAGCCTCAGGATCTGTAAAACTGACTATTATGGCTATTTTCTGTGTTTGCTATTGTTAAATAGCTGTGGTGGCCATCTTGAATTAGGTTAATCAGTTGTAGATGTGCATGCAGTGATCATTTTATGAAGGTTTCATTAAAATTCATCCTGTGGTTAATGAGACATTTTGCTAATGGACAAATCCCAGTATTTATTGARCAAGTTTTATGCAAAGCTCTCACACAATCAGTTAGTGCTCAGAATARGGGTTGGGAATGACTTTCAGCTAGTACCACCAAATTTTAGCTCAATATCTATGACATTGATTGGGCTATAGCTAGTTCTGTGTTTGCTAACATTGTTTGGCTGTTGGCTTCAAAAGTAGTTGTATACATTGTAGATTTAGTGTTTGTTTTCTGGTGGTTTTATTAAAATTTGTCCATGAGTTTTTCTGCCAACAGTCAAATCCGCCCACTTTTCAGCAGCAGGTGATAACGCTTGTGCCAGGCGTGGAAGCCTTTACGTTAATCAGAACAAGTATGGGGTCGTTTTTGTCTGCTAATCCTCCTCTCTGACTTGATGTGCCATYAAGTGCCAGCACGGTTCTCATTCATAAAATCCTCCGTCACTCGCTGGCGTGACTCAGTCCAAACCCATTCAAGCTCACAGCTCCGCAATTAGCAGCTACAGRGTGGAAAAGGCCATAAAAGATTCATGGCCACTTGTTTGACAAGCTCGTTCCTGTCGCCGCATGATGCAACAACAAAGCCTGACCGGTCGACAGCTCTTGACCCTACGATGAGTGCATCACAACAATGTAACGCTCCAGCTCCGGCACCTTTGAAGAGTCACGTCTCTGTGTCACTGCAAGAAATAATGATGATGGACATTTCTAAAGGACTTTTAAGGTTATCTGTGTATCTTAAAGGGGTGCACCAAAAAATAGCTTTAAATCGGAATCTTGATTCTCATTTACAAAGATTCAGGATCGATTTAAAATGTCATATATATATATATATATAATAGTTTGTCAACCTCCATTTTGTAACCACTTGGGACGTCCTGGCATCACATGGAGCTGGTTCTGGAATGTATGAATGCACAGAAAGCATCAAAACAAAGAGGAAACTACAAAACTGGAGGAAAGAGAGATTCAGCAGACCCTGTCTTCATTGAATGCAAAGATTTGGGCTCATTTTGTTTTTTACTGAATGAGTCCGAGTTTGACATGAGCTTCACTGTGTACAAAATTTGCAAAATGAAGATGAAGCACTTTAGAAACACGACAAATGGGCTCACAATGGGCCTCATGCAAGAACCGTTCATACGCACAGATTTGTTCTTAAGTTGTGTGACCGCGCTTCCTTTTGAATAAATGAAAACTATGTAACACCGGTGTTTACACTGCTATTAAAAATATTTGACCAAAGAAAAACTGGAGCAGGACTACAGAGAGAGAGAGAGAAATATGATTTAGGTTTTTATTACTGTGACTGTAACGACCCACAGGAGACATGACATTAACAGCAGTAGTTATTTCATTCCTCAGCTTTAAAGCAGATCCTTTAATTCCAAGCTGATGCTGCTAAAAATGACATTTTWTTTGTGGATCTCCGAGAGCAGGAATTCAATCTCCGAACTCGTAAAGTTCTTCTTTTTTACTTTGTGATGTCATTCATGAACGGACACGCGGGGCAGGAAACATATATCCTTATATGGTGTTTTTGGGGTGGTAATTATGTAAAGAACCGCTCCGCGTGCACGAGCAGCTGGATAAGAACAGGTGTAATTCATCATGTGTACGCAGCTCGTTTACACACTTTTCCTGAAGATAGAAGAGTTTGTTGAATCTGACGTGGCATGTTCGTACGAACCCTTTGTACGAACAAAAGTAAGAGAAATTTAGGATAAGAATACGAACATATACTTGCATGAGGCCCATTGAGTTTTGAATAAAAAAATTGATTTTGAATCGAATCGTGAGACAGTAAAATATTTCCACCCCTAGTATCTTATGCTACAATCTGATTGGCTGGCTGTGTGATGGCTTTGGTTTGTATTGTATTATAACTTCTGTTCCTGTTCAGCTCTGTAATCTCTATTATAATTTACACTGTACAATATACAGTAATTGTCACCTGCTGCTTTGAAATGTGTTTGTTCATTAATGTGCCTGTTTGTTATCAGTGTATCTCAAACAGCTGAATGGATTTTAATGAAATCCTTAGAAATAATCGTAAGATGTACATCTACAACTAATTATCTTTTGGAGTCGCTCTGTTTCATGACGGATGCCACAGATAATCAATATTAGCAAACATGAAAATGCCTATAACTCAGTKATTTTTATAGATGCTGTGGTAGTAGCTGAGAGGAGTCTACAATATGAACTCTGAATGCTAACAGATCTCATGAGCTTGAATTTAAAATGTTGGCGTGTAAGGTGGCTGGTTTGTATGCCCGTCTTCAAGGAATGTTAGATTTATTTTAACTATGTACTTATCCTTGTAAAAAAAAATCTTATATCAAGTTTTACTGCTTTACAAGTCATACCCACAGTTGTGAATAAGCTCTCAGCCCTGTTGCAACATAGTGGCCCAAAAATCTCTTCACAAATCCTCTAAAGTAAGATTTTTGCATTTTTTTAATCGATGCCTGGAACGGGAGAACATGTGGCTGAAACCTTTAATGCATCTACTTGACGCAGTATGTTACTGGATCTCTGAAAAGTTCATATTACACTGTGTGGGCTTTTAATTTTCCTTAATGCATTGTATGAAACAGAAGACTTTGCATCTGATCAAGCTGAAACATCGTTTTCAATCCAGAATCCTCATTGTTTCGCTTGACAACATCATCGTGAAACACCTTTACACAAAATCTAAACGATTACTTTGGCTTATTGCAAGATAAACCCTTCTTCACACAAAACTAATAGCTTTCTTATCGCTCCAGCTTCATGCGTGCCATGGCTGAGGCAGAATAAGGGCACTGACCTCTCATATGTATTTTGATAGCTTGCAAAAGAAATGGGGCGACTTTATCAGCCATTTTTGTTTTAAAACCAATTGTATGAATCAGATGTAATAACTCTTTAAATAGTGAATGGTGCCCAATGATACCCCCCAAGTTATTACATATTTTTTTGATTCTACCATGTCAAAAGTGAAATGGGGATATAGAATGAAATCTATTTTGTGTGTTTTTGACTGTGGTGGAAGAATATCTTGACTCCCTAACTGCYTATTACCTCGACATGTCCTGTTCTGCATCTCTTGATAAACTGCCATTATATTATCTGTTTCTCGTGACTCTTAAGATACTGTATGTACCCATGTAATCTTATGGCCTATTTACTTGTAACCATGTCATTGGTTTCCTGGATATCTCTGATGCTCTAATTTTGTTAGCAGGATGTATATATTGCCTGTTTTTCTGTTTCCGGGTCAGCGAGAGCTTGACAGACGCTTCGATTCACGTCTGTCTGGCTCTGCTCATTCTTTGCATATGCACCTTTCTATTAAATAATCTGAGATCGAGACCACACAGTTTCCACTTTGTTTATTTCCCGCATCTCTGCCCTGGCGAAAAGGCTAGCCACGACATGACCAATCAGGTGACCTGTTGAAATGGACTAGGTGTTTTTGAGAGAAAATGGGAAAAACTGAATGTTGTAACCTTTTAGCATTAGTGGTAAAGTCAGTGGTTTTCTCTGTTGAGGAAAAAAGTATTTGAATACTCTCAAATTTCAACATTCAACTAGAGTATTCAAATAGAGCTTGGCTAGAATTAACTAGTCGATGTCGCAGAAATACAGTAGGTTGGGCACCAGTAACCCGTGTGTTTGTGTGTGTCCTCTCCAGAGTTACGGTTTCGGAGGGGAAAGCCTAAAAGTTCTGACAGAGAAGCTGAGCGCTCTTGCTCACACGCTGCAGATGAACATTCAAAGCCGCTGGCGCCTCAACGGCTATGATGGACGGAGCACCACCAAGCTGTCCACTGGGGTTCTGACRGTTGTTGTTGAACTCATAACCTCAGCTAAAGGCCTCTTCTCTTTGCTCAACAGGTTTGTGAGGAGGAGCTTGAAACATTGCTGTAGACTGCTTACTTTAATGTAAAACGCACAAGAAGCTTTATTTTAAGCACCTTTTAAAAAATTATCTTTTRTTTGAATCTGAAACACTTACTCTGTATCTGTTAAAATTTGTCAATATGTATGAAATTTAGTGTAGTTTCTCATTTACTTATTGAAATTGTATTAATCTAACAAATTATTAGATGCTAATGTGGGGAAAAACTAACTATAAAACATGGAACTGGGAAATTTAAAACAGATTTCTGGGAAGGAAAACAATTAAAAGCAAACCAGATTTAATGGAGCCCTACAATATGGACTGCATGGCTATTTTTATTTGTTTGTATTTATATACCATAGCCTTAGTAAACACTTTTGGTCTGATCTACAAAAGATTTGTAGATACTGTATGATCGTGAGAATTTTAGCACCTGCTGTTAGATTCATCAAACTTAAAACTGATTGTGGTTGCTGGTTATGCTGGTGTCTGTATTTGACACGTATACAAGGCAAATGCAAACTGGCTGCAGTCACTGTGGGAAGAAGGGGGCATTAGTACAACAGGTGATGGAAAGAGAAAATGTTCTGTCAGAAATAAACAGTGGAGACTTATCATCTATCCAGCTATTTATCCATGTCACTTTTAAAGGAGACCAATTATGGGTTCTAGAAAATTTTATGGTATGTCTGTGGGCTATCCAGACCACGTTCATTCAATTTAATGCACCAAATAATTCTCAGATAATAAAAAATTCCCATTTTCTTGTTCTGCCTGCTCTGACTTCCGTTCAGAAGAGCTGTTTATGTTAATGAGCTCTGTTGGTAACGCCCTCCAAAAATCTGTTGACATTAACTCCGCCCTCCAAAGCCAGCGTTTACGTTAGCATGGCTAATAATAGCAGAAGCTCCGTTGTACAACCATATGAGACCCAGAGTCAGAGTCGTGGTCGCAGCTTCTTTTTTTTCTCCCCCTCCTCTGCTCTGCGCTCACTCTGCATGCTGTTACCAGAGCAGGGAGCAACAGCGGTAAAAATACGTCAGAAACTCGAACAAAAAGGCTTTAACAAGGCTTTAATAAGCTAAACAATAGAGGTACATGAGAAAACGTGTTCATATTGAATGAAAATAATTAAATTGTATCCATGCCAGTCTCGAACCCTGGTCTCCCACTCTCTGGTCCAACACTCTATCCATTGCCCTTTTGGAGGCTTGTTGTGAAATGAGCTGCGCATTTCACAACAACAACTGTGACGGCTTTTTATACTGAGGAGGTGGAGCCTCACCTGGGGGTTGCTAGGTGAGGGGCTGAACGCAGGTTCCGGTGGGTTGTCGAATGGCTTGTGACATCACAAAACGACTGAAGTATAAAACTTGTCGTTAATATACATTAAAAATACATTTACTTACAGTAAATATGCCCTTGGGTGCATTTTTTGTAGTCCTAGGACTGTTTTTTTTAAGAAGTACATACCCAAAGTTGAGTAAAAAAAACTTTAAAAAGTGAATTTTGCATAATAGGTCCCCTTTAAAGTTGGTGGACAACCTAAGGGCTGCTTTGCAGCCAGTCACAACTTGAAACCACACCATATCTCCTACAGAAAAACTCCTTACAGCACTGCATTTTCAACTTRGAACTTTGTTTTTCTTTTATGACCACTCTGCTCAGCCAAACTCCACATGTTGACTGCCCAAACGTACACGCAAAACTCATTATTTCAGTAGGGCAGTCACTTTTGCACCCGTTCTCATTTGTAGGCCACCTGCAACATGCCCACTCATAGCATTTGCAATTTTTATTTTATTTTATTTATTTTTTTGCTTTCACACATTTTAGCACTTGTTATTTGGGATCTTAGTAGATCAAGCCRTTTGTCAATTATTTTAAAGGAAATCTCAACAGGAAGGTATCAGGGAGTATATCACCTTCACTCTTCTTTAGGTGCAATAAATGCAATTTTTCTCAACTCAAATACTATATATATCCAAATGATCACGATTAGGATTTATTTCCAGAATCAGTCAGCCACAGATGTTGGTAAAGTCTTTTCATARTGTTGCCTTCTCTCTCTATTATTTCAATCTCTCTGTTTTCTCTCTTTAATTTTAATTATCCCTTCTACTCTTCTGTCCAAACTAATTTAAAACACAATTCATCTTTACAGGTATCAGTTTTTCCAGCTCAGTGGATACACCGATACCAAAGACATATTRAACCACTGCAAACAGCTGGGAGACATCGTGCACAAGGTGAGTGTGCTCATCTCAGTTATTACATGACGACTGCCTGTCACATCATGTGACTCGTTTATCTAATCTGATGTTCAAATACCTGCCCAGCTCTTGTGTCTGTTTCCACCCGATTTCCGACCCTTGTATCTAAAATATGCTTTACAGCCCATGTGTTTATAAATGGACGAGATGCTTTACGTCGCAGGGAACTGGACATGAGTTACCTACAGTATGTTTCTGGTTGTTATGTCATGCTGTAGTCTAAGAGGAACTACAACCTGTTGTGTTAATTTCATTTTTGAGCCTGCCCCTTTGATAGAACAAGAGAAGCCGAAGCAAAGACTTGCTCCCTGTTCCTCGGTTCAGCTTGAGTCGAGCTCTTTTTTTTTCTTTCAAAATCAGAAAATTCTTGGCATATTTGCTGGCAGCCGAGCCTTAAAGGAGATTAGGTTGAAGATATTTCGCCGGAGCTCGGTTTGTTTGCATGCTGTCCCGATGTCTGAAAATACTTGAAGACTTAGGAGGAGGAGAAACGCTCATAACAGGAGTAATGTGAGTGAAAAGTGTTTCTAGGTGCTGTAGATGGGAGGGCAGGCCTGGATATGTTGTGCCACCTGGGGGAGGGAGGGAGGGAGGAGACTCGGAGGAGGGATTACATTGCCACTGGTAAATGACTTTTGGCTCCTGGGGGAGAGAACACAGCCGAGAACAACAGGCAGTTACTCTGAAACGCTGCTGACCGCACAGAAAAAATCCACTTGATTGAAGTTTAAAACAGAGGAGAGCGCTAAGTAAAGAGAAGCAAAACAGACTGAAAGAGGAGACTCAGGTTTTTTTTAAGGAGTTTATATTTAGCTTGATTTGGATGCCTGCCCAGCACAACAGGTACCTTCCTCTTTGATTGGATAATTCTCCACAAGGTGATCCTTCTTTAACCGCTACAGGACTCTGCTTCAGCCTTTCCAATAGGTCAAGCATGTACTAAAATACAAAAAGGCAAGCTTATTCAGAGAAGTTCTTTAGGAATTAAAACCTAACTTCTGTCGATTCAAGGAAAAAACATGAAGTGGAACTGTCAGGTCACAAAGCTTGCAGGACTTTCACATGGGAAGTAAGTAAAACCGTCTCTGTGTGTCTGCTTTACGGGTGATATTTTCATGAATCGTGAGATTTAACAGGGAGGTGTTTATAGCAGAGGTATTTAGCGAGTTGACTCTGATAAGATGTTTTTGCTCCTACGCTGTGAATCAGAGTTGGCCCTGCTGACTGTTGTTTTCATTCATTACTGGCTCAGGATACATTAAATGCAGAGTGTTGGGTCAGTGATTAGTAAGTAGAAATATTCACCTATTTTTCCTGTCCCTTCTGTGTTGATCATTGGTTATTGTTTTATTTAATGCTGGGCTATTGTTTGCTCGGTTCCTGTTTTTGAACATTGCACTTCATGCAGGTGTCTGAAGGTTAAAGGGAGCAAGTGAGGTTTGGGAACATACCTGTCAGGTTTCAACAGCTGCATATGTTTCTAGACTTTGAATCATCAACTTGTAACTAATACTTCTAAAATGTGGTTGAAATTGACACTAACATGGCAGATGAGGTTAAAGGTCATATGTGGACAACATGAAAGTTTTGTATACCTGTTTAACAGCAAAGAGAAACATGCATTTAATAAAATATRAYTCCATCTACCTATCCAACTACCTATCTTCTTATCAAATCTARRCARCTGCCTAATCAATCRAATGGTAAATGGGCTGAACTTATGTAGCACATTATCAAGCCCCATTGCACCCCAAAGGGCATTACACTACACACAGTCACACACTGATGGTGGTAAGCTACATTGTAGCCCCAGCTGCCCTGAGGCACACTGACAGAGGCGCCACCAGACCCTCTGACCACCAAGGCAGGGTGGGTGAAGTGTTTTGCCCAAGGACACAACAACTGAGACAGCTCGAACGGGGGATCAAACTACCCTATAGGCCACGGACATCCGGTCCAGCACTTGGTGCCACATACTGGTCTTCCGGTTCGCGGGCAACATTGTGTTAGCGAAAGATTTTTTCACCCGAAAACGACTCTTAATGATCTCCACAGTACATAATTAGCATATTACATGTACCAACATTAACACAGGACACGTACAGGTCCAGCCAAGTGGAGAAAAAAAAATCACTCCAAAGTGGATTAAAGCCATAAAAACAAAGGAAAGACGTTCGTGTTTATGGTTCCAGAATTTAGCCATTTTCGCTATTCCTTGGCTGCTTGTTTGGTGAATTTTTCACGTAGAGCTGTGACACTTATATTGTTGGAAAGAGCAGAGTCTGGGCTTTAAATTGATGGGCTACTTGTATGGTTTGGATTGTTTTCCCCGACATAGGTGAACTGAAAACGTAATGATTATCAGGTGGAGGTTCTGCAGCTCTCTGTACTCYTSGGGAGGGGGMYCTCGTCGCTCGTGTTTTGTTTACATTGTAATAAGTTTTTACTTTTGCATAAAACTCATGACAAAGTTGCCTAAAAACATTTCATACTCTGTATAACACTAACGCGCGTGCACACACACCTGTACAGGCTGCTGTGTTAGCTTCCTGCTAACTGTCATCTGGAGGTGGTTTTTCCTCTCTCGTCTTGGCAGTAAAGGGGATAATTGTACATTTCCCTTTTGTAACCTCCGTCTTCTCATTTATGATGCTGGCTCTTGAATATCCTCAGGTTAGAAATGCCGATTACAAATGCAAGTGTGAGCTTATAGCTAAGATTTCCCTGTATAGCTATGATCCACAGCTGTCAACTTTCCTCCTCTAGAGGAAAATGGAAAAAAACTAACTACTCTATTGTACCTGCTGGTTAGTGGACACAAAGGCGCACAACAGAACTCGCATTTTATACCAGTAGCTCACGGATGCTCTAACTTTTGTGACGTTTTCACGGACTAGTTCTAGAAGCTAACGCTAAAAACAAAGCAGTAAGCAGGAAGTGGAAGGGATGTGTGTGGCAAGAATTTTACCGGAAATACGTCATTAATGACCGTGGCATATAGGCAATTAACCTTTCCGTCTAACTATCCATCTACCCATCTTACTGTTGTTTATTGCCCACTGAAATACACAACGCAGCTGCCACTGGTTGAACTGTAAACAAGGAAAAAATTACATTTAGACTTTTTTAATATCCATTCAAAACCAAATTTATAATTATACATTTGACAATCGTAGTAACTTTTATAAGCAAATCACAACTAAAGCTATGGTGAATGTAACTCAGCAAATAAAATATATATGTGTAAACCACATTTAATTTACTCCTTTAAAACACAAGAATCAATAGCATATCAATATTAATTCATATTGTGCAAGAAACAAACATGAGCATCGTGCCAGTTTGCTGCTGATAGAAAACTGCTAGCATAATGTTAATCTCTCCAGAACACTCATGCAGAACACATTATCTTTATAGTTTACAACAGAAAAATTAATCTACACAGTTACACAAATGGTTAATATTGCAATAAGAACTTACCATATTGGGCATTGTATTTAACTGTAAATGTAGAAGTATTAATTTTTTAACATATGCTTCATTTTAAATCACTTCTGGTTTCAACAATGTTACTTCTGTTTTCACACAAAGTTCTTCAGAACAAAAGTAAACAACCTGTAGAGCCCCCTAGTGGAATGGAGTTCATCAGTTTAACATCCCACCTCTACCAAACACACATTAACCCTTTAAACCCACAGGGTTGTATAAGTACTAGCTCCTTCAGTTTTCAGTGTGGGCCCTGTACCAGACCCGTCGGGCTCAACAGGTAAACATTTATTGCTTCATCAAAATAAAAAAATAAAGTGAATTGTTGCAAACTTGTATTTGACAATGGAAAACAAAAGAACTGAGTTATACAGAGTTTTGTTTATTCAAGTGGACTAGTTTTGGTGAGTTTTATATGCATACAATAAAATGATATTTTACAACCTTTTACAACAGCCTGGTTGGGAGCCACTGACCTATCCATCTACTGAGCTACCTACCCATCCATCTGTTTATTATAAGTTGGGAAAACCCCAAAGCTACCACCACATCAAAGTTTAGCTCACTATATGTTAAGTTGGCTGAATTATAGCTATTAATGCAATTGCTCAAGACATTTAGTTATATTGGCTATCTTGAACGGAGGTGATTCCAAAGGTTAATCAGGTGTAGAAATACAGTACACCCAGTGATTGCTTTTAGAGAATTTCATTGAGATCAGTCCACTTGTTCATGAGGTATTCTGAGTTTTCATGAATAACAAACACACACAGACATGGGCAAAAAATTAATGCTTTTTGCCTTCATTGGCGAATGATGAACCATAAATTATCCATGCATGCTGTCGCCACAACAGATACGTTATGTGGTAAAGTACAGCATCTTATGCTAAGAAGTGTCGAACTGAATCGCATTAAACATGCTTCTAGCACACAGATTAGCGTGGTCATGGCTGCGTAAACCTTGCTCATGGCTAATTGAATCTGTCATTCCTATGTGACAGTACTATTGGCTTAACCCTGACGTCTTTTCTGAAGAGGTACTTCCTCAGAGACTGCACCACATCTTTCCAACAACAGAAAGGACTCTTGTATTGCTAGTTTTTCCTTTGAGTGTGTGAGCATTTGTGTGTGTTGTTGTTTTTTRTRTCTCTCTCTCTGCCACCCCGAGGGCGATCGGGGTCAGCAGTCAMCTGGTGTTGTTGGGATCCAAGTTGTCAAGTCAAGAGTTTTCGCAGTCTCAGTTTGCTTTGGAGCAGCCAAGCAGCGGCCAAAGTCCAAAGAGTGAGGGCAGAGAGAGGAACAGGGAGGGGAAAAAAGTGAACTTGGGTTTGACAGCAGCTAAACTGGGAAATATTTTGTTGAAGGTATGTGTGTTTCAAAAATCAATTTTTTTATTACACCTTTTGGTTTAGGAACCTTCAGGTGGAAATGGACAACATGCTTTTAAGATAAATCTGTGGCAACTTATTGGTTTTAAATTAAACTATT